AAAGCTTCTGAATTTTAGCTGTGTTTCATTTTTCCCCCATGGGGCAGACATGGGAATCATTTCCTATTTTTGTTCAGAGAATTATAGAAGGGCTTTCTGTCTAAAGTGAAATGTTTATCTAGAAGTTTTTTTCTCCCTTTTTACAAGAAAACATCACATTACATCTCTGTAGAGAGGTGTGCTAAGCCTTCAGTTCTCCCTTTCTTCACCCAAACACAGAACTGACTTGATGTGTGATACTATCTTTACTTTGCCCAGGGAGGTCTGACTCTCATGCTTGTTTCTATTAGAAAGTAAGCTTATTTTTAGATTTAAGCCTATAAATTTCATGTTGAGCAGGAACTAGAAGTCTCGAATTTTTAAGTGTGATGGCAGGCCTTCATCACATTGACCCTGAGCTGTAGAACGGCAGCCCGACAAGCTGGAAGGTACATTCCTTCATCAGATCTGTACGCAGATTTTCCATCTGCTTATTTGTTGAGGTTCTGGCTTTGCTTCTTACTGAATTTAAAATGACTGAATGTAAAGTTTTTTTAAGAAGACATCCCATTGGCATTCTAAAGTACAGCACAGCCTGACAATCAGAGACACCTCCTTTTGTATTTATCCCTAAAAATGAATGTATACAAAAGTGGTAAGATGGAGTATGTAACACTGACGTCAGGACTTTGTTATCAATGAGCCTTTAGGGCCCCCACTAGCCTAATGTGAAACAGAAAATGCTGCCCCCAAGATGTCACAATGAAATAGAATATTCCCTCTTTTAAGCTACCGTTGTAGAGGACACAGTCTGCAGGCATCAAAACTAGCCCCCCAAATCCCATTTCCTTACTGTATTACATAGATCTGTTTTTCAGATTAAGGAAACTTCATATTTCAATAGTTATAAATTAAATTGAAAATGATTTCTATTTTGTCATACAATTTATACTACAATTTTTTCTTGTGTTCTTATAGTTTTAGCAAAAGATAATATGAAATTACTGTGAAACAAGCATTTTCTGGTTTTAAAAGAGAAGTACAGTGGGCATGGTGGCACATGCCTTTAATCCCAGCACTCAAGAGGCAGAGGCATGTGGATCTCTGTGAGTTCAAGGCTAGTCTGGTCTACATAGTGAGTTCCAGACCAGCAGGGCATACAAGGAGACCCTTTCCCAAAAAGAAAAACTAGAAAAGAGAAGTACAGAAGCCCAAAGACTCGCCATGAGGGAGGAGGGAGGCCAGGTGGCATGTTAATCTTCCCCCATATGAAGCCAACTTCATGGTGATTATTAATGGGCAGCAAACATTGCTGTCCTCGGGTTGCTTGTGGTCTGTAGTTATCGGTGTTTTATCATAATATTTAAAAACAGAAAAACAGACCTAAAAATTTAGCTTTAAGTCAGGCGTGGTTAGCCAGGCAGGAAGACTGTGGGTTGGAAGTCAGCCTGGGAAGATATGGTCACACCCTACCTAAAAATAAAATTTTAAGAGGCTGAGACATGGCAGTCCTTTGCACTGATAGACATAAAAAACAAACACTTCAGGCTGGAGAGATGGCTCAGCGGTTAAGAACACTGACTGTTCTTACAGAAGACCCAGGTTCGAATCCCAGCACCCACATGGCAGCTAACAACTGTCCATAACTCCAGTTCTGTCCTCTGTGGGCATTGCATGACACAGGTGCACTTACCTACATGCAGGCAATACATGTGTACACATAAAATAAAAATAATAAATAAAATATTTTTTTAAAAACCTTCTCTGAAGTAGCATCTGTCCTGCCTTTAGGGTATGTGTTCCGGTTCATCCCAGGGCTCCCCACTCTTGCCTTGAACCCTCACCCCTAGCACTGAAGGTATTTTATAATCTTCAGGGAACTGAAAAGATGAGACACAGTCAGTTTGAGTTGCTGATGGGAGCAGAGCTGAAGACAGAGATCTGTGCTGCCTCTTCCCCAAGAGTAGCCTCTGTTTTGTTGAAGGATGCACACCTTGCCACCAGGAGCATAGGTACCTAGTAGGCAGGAGGCATGCCCAGGTGCCCTTGCTTAGCAATACCTGGTCTATCTCATGACTCTCAACAGAGACAACATTGTTTTGTCTTCCTCTGTCAAATTTTTGTTCTATGTAGAGGGTACCTCAGTGTTCAGCATCAAGTAAACCCTGCATCCTGGAAAGTGAGCTGAACTCTTCAAGATTGTGACATCAGGACTCTGCTTTACCATCCAGTCCCATAGGAAACAGGCATGTCCCTGTCCCCATGTTTGTTACCCGCCCTTAAAGTTTTCTTTGGAAATAAATATAATACTGTGTGTGTGCGCACGCACGTGCGTGTGTGTACACGTTGCATGCATGCGGGTGTTCTGGTGCATGTGCCTGTGCACACACATGGAGGCAGAGGAGGACACTGGGTAGTTTCCCTGCTTTGTTCCTTTAAGACAAGACTTCTCACTGAATCAGAAACTTGCCATTTCACCTAGGTTGGCCGGCCAGGGAGCTTCCGGAATCCACCTGTTACGCCCAGCCCACAACTCTGGGTTATTGGCATGTGTGTGGGTATGGCCATGTCTGGCAAATGGTGCTGGGGATTTGAACTCAAGTCCTTATAGTTGCATAGCGAGCACTGCTGCTCACGCTGAGCTATACCCCAGGCCCAGTGCTTGTGTTTCCAAGGCAAAGTGAAGAGCCGTATGTGCCTTTAGTATACTTAAAACAATTACATGTCTTATATAAGTGTGTGGTTTTGATCAGCTGAAGGCACACAGTGTTGCACATCATTATTTAAAAAATTATTGTGTTGAGAAATACTGCTCAGTTTACATATTTATGAAAGCATCATTTGGATGGGCTCCATACCTGTTTGCATTCCTTTATCCTTGCCTGATGCTTTATAACACACAATAGCTATGATTTTCATTCTTACATTCTGTTTGCCATGGTTTCTATCTGGTTGTTAAGTCCTCTGTAGAAGAGTCCTCTGAGCTCTAAAAATTGTAGCATTTTTGACTTCCTGATTATAGGTTCTAGGCCATTAGTTCATTTCTTTTTCAGTTAACCAACCTTTTCCAGAATAAACTCGCTAACTTAAATGCACAGATTCACACATGCATGCACACACCATACACACACACACACACACACGCACACACATGCACGCACAGAAAGAATATTTTTAGAAGGTCTAATATTTTGCCAGAAGGAGTTGAAATTCATGATGTATGGATTCCTGGAGATTCACTGCTGTTTTTCCAGAATAAACTCGCTAACTTAAATGCAGAGTCACACATGCATGCACACACCATACACACACACACACACACACGCACACACATGCACGCACAGAAAGAATATTTTTAGAAGGTCTAATATTTTGCCAGAAGGAGTTGAAATTCATGATGTATGGATTCCTGGAGATTCACTGCTGTATTTACTGGCTGCCTTTATTCTTTCGTGAACATTTACACAGTGGGCAAAGACAGCCTTAATTATCGTTGAAAGTACTATGTTGCCTCATTTTCTCAAATTGTTAATGTCTGTAAAGTGCTTTACGTTCTTATACAAGACCAGAGAGATTTATGCAAATATGTTGCACAATTTATGTCCAATCATATGTATGCCTTGAAGAAAGAGTGAATGTCTTAAATAGTTTACAGCATGTATGCCCTCATTAACTAAATTATTGACATCAGGTCAAGGTGGGGAGGACGGCATCATAGTAATCTTTGTATCTCAGATTCTCCTACAGTAACTGGCGCTGTACTAAAGCTATAAATATAAGAATTCTAGGGAATGCCTGGTGTTAACATTAGTAAATGGATCATTTAAAGTAAATTTCCCAACCCTTTCTTTTGTTGTGTGGGTTTAAATCTAATCTGAATTTGCCATCTCTCCTTTAAATGGTGTTTAATTTTTCACTTCTGTAATTATTCGATTGCTAAGTCTTACGGTCAACAAGTTGAACATTCAGTTAACACTCTGCAAATGAAAGGACATTGTGTTTGAGAAGCAAGGAAAATACAGTCAAGGCAGTAAGGGACCGTGATAGCTGTTAGTCAAGGAACATCAATCAAGTAACTGAGACATAGTAAAATTGATAGGAATTACACAGAAACCAGGAGTAAAAAGGTTTCAGACTGGCTGTGGCCAGCCTTTTAACCTTTGAGGAGTTACAGCATTCCTGTGACTGCAAATTTTAATGGCTCTTCCTGTTTCGGTGTGCTTAAGACCCTTTTTACTACAGGTAATTTTCTCCATAAGCAATCAGCTAGATAAAGCTGTATTTCAAACTTTTAAATGCCTTTTATTACATTATCATCACCACGGTGGATTCATTTATGAAACACAAAGCACTCCCATTTGGAGAGATTTATTCTGCTATCTTCTTCTTCTTGGATTTGCCCAAACCCCGTCATGTTCGTGTTCTGAAGGTTAATGCCAAAGTCAAGCACACAGAAGCCAAGGGCTGCAAGCTTTCCAAGATTAGGACTGATTCCCTTCACAGAAATAAATGATTCCTGCCATGTTCGGTGATTTTGTGCCGCGCTCCTCATGGCTGAGTGAATGCATCAATACAGTAATTCTTACACGCCGTACATACTGATGACACCTGGTGTTAACTGATTGACTGAGCAGCGCATTGGAGACGAAGCACCTGCAAGCAAAGGGCAGACACATATGTTTTTATCCTGGCTTCGAAACGTTCATTTTGCATTTATTTTACTTGGTATCCCTAGTATCAAGTTCCACTAGCTGTCAAGCGCACTGCTAAGGTAGAATAAACCATTCTGTGATGTTTTCTTATCACAATTATACCGAAAATGCTCTGAGGCTTGAACCCCTTTGCGAAAGCCCGATTTTCTGCTTTTGAAAGAAAATGGATAAAGGTGATTATTAAGAATCCCAACAAATCAGGGGCTCTGTGGAATGGAAGCTAATGATGGGCAACTGGATCATTTAATTCAATTGCCAGAATCTCAATGGCTATGTTTTGATGTTATATTTTATCATCATGTTTTATAGGCTTTGAGGCAGCAGCAGAAAAGAAGAAATGGAGTCTCAATGATGGTAAACAAGACTGTTCCTCGTGTTGTTTTGACACCATTAAAGGTGTCTGATGAGCAGTCGGATTCGCCTTCAGGTAAAGTCTTAAAATATTGTGTGCTTGACCAGTTTCTTCCAGAGCAGACTTCTTCATGTCAGGATGGCATGAGTTGTTTTTTTCTGAAACTGAAAAATACTTGCACTTGAAGTTTGGTTTTATACATGCAGCACACACACACACACACACACACACACACACATACGTGCCTATGTATATATGTATATATATGCGCCTGTATATACATGTATATGTGTGCATATATGTATATCTTTGACTCGTTGCTGATTCAAAAATATAGAGTAGTTTCCATTATTTTTTTTTTTAAGGCTTGAGCCAGTACATCATCAGATAGCTTAATTTGCTGAAGTCAGTAAGGGTAAGAAAGTAGATATTGATGCTGCTGTGTTTTCTTGTCTGTAATTTAACTGCCTTTTGGATATTGAACTTCGTTGGTGGGCCACACACTGGTGTGTGACACCATCATGAGCAGTTCTTCCCCAAGTGTGAATTTGTTTTTCAGTCTTTGCTTCAAAGCCTGGAATCCTTTATGAGTTCTTGTGTTCTTGCAACATCCTTCTCCCCCATGAAGCACTGGCCTGCTCCAGTTTACCCTGTTCCTTGATCAGCTGTGCACCACTGTTTTCATTGTAGCTTAATGCTTGCATTTTCTGAGTCTGCTTCAACACGAAGTTGTTGATGAAGGTCTGACCCTTGTGTTTCCTGTGCTCCCTTCCTGTTTCTCTGTCAGTCTGATATCTCTGAACGAGCTCAGAGTGTTCAGGTTTATTTGTGCATTTTTACAAAAGGTGCAACTCTTTGTTTCCAAAGCTATCTGATCAGTGACCGTTTTGGACCCTGCTATTAAACCATCTGTTCTGGCTTTTTGTCCATTTTGATTGATTTATTGGCTTTTTCTCTTTATATCCAATAGGGAATTAGACTGTGACCAAAAGTAGCGTATTACTGCCTAGAAAAAGATAAAAAGAGATTATATCTACGTTTCTTAAAACAATTTTAAGTTTTTCTTGTCAAGGACAGCGAGAAGAAGCTAATGGCATAATAACTATTTCCTTTTTTAGGATCCGAGTCTAAAAATGGTGAGGCAGACAGTTCAGATAAAGAGATGAAGCATGGGCAGAAATCTCCCACTGGAAAACAAACAAGTCAGCACTTAAAACGGTTGAAAAAGTCTGGTTTAGGTGAGTGTTCAAGACACTATACCATTGTTCATTTTAGAGATAGATGTCCTTTTAAATAAATTATGGAATATTCATGGAACTTTAGTGGTTCAGGAGGGAAATTGAAAATATCCTTCATTCATCTAAACAAAGCATGCTCAATACAGAAGCAGTGTAGTTTTACGATTGAAGAGTCTCAAGCTTATAACTAAATTAGTTAGTGATATTATTGGGTAAGGCAGAAGGTAAAGATATCACAATTAAAGAAATATGCATTCAAGTAATTGCCGGTCCAATCATGAACCTATCCAATGTGTAGTACTTGGCTGCATTTTATTGGAATTTTCTAGACTGGGGGAGCGGGGATGAAACATAGGGGATCCACTGAACTGGAGATTATGTTATCACAGGGATCTACTGAAGTAAAAATGACCAGCTTTAATTTTGTTTAAGATGCTTGAAATATTTAGTAATGTCTTCTTTGTAAAAAAAGTGTTGAACAATCACTGAGAAGTGTGGAGACACGTCCATGGGTCTTGAAAGTTAATACTTGGTTGTTTTTCTGAATACTTGCTGGTAACTTCATGAAGGACCTGCCAGACACAGAAGTATAAGAATTAAAAAGATACAACTAAGTCCCTCCTCAGCTAAGTAACTGTAACTGACTCAACCGTCAACCTCTTGCCTGGACCCACTGCCTTCATTTCTCTTGTTTAATTATTTTACCTCTCAGTAGGGGTTTTGATGATAGTTTGGATCATTAGAATATTTGGGGACTGAAGAGATGGCTTACATGACTCAGTTGGCAGTTCCTGCCAGCCAAGCACGAGAACCTGAGTTCAGATCCCCAGCAACTATGTTTAGGATAGTCATGATCTGGCATGTCTGTAACTGTGGCATCGCTCAGCGGGTAGGAGTCAGGGGACACACAGAGCCTGAGCTTACTGGCCATTCATTCTAGCCATTCAGTGAGTAGCCAGTTCAGTGAGAAACATTTTCTCAAAAACATACAGTGAAGAACATTCAAGGAACACACAGGATGTCAAGTTTTGGCCTCCACGTGCGCACACGTGTATCGTGCATGCAAACCTCATGTGCATGCATTCACACATATATCTTATATGCAGACACACAGACAGACACAGACAGACAGACAGACAGACACACACACACACACACACATAAAAATATTTGGTGTTATGGTCAGTAGAAGTCACACATTGACTGACCTGAACACTATTACTCTTTCTGCCGACATCTTGGCAATATCGGATTCTTTTTATCTTCTTCTCAGGTTTTCTTCTAGTCAAATTGATATCATATGTAACTGATTTATTTATGTACTTGGTAAAGTTTGAGTAGGACTAATGGATCTTAAGATAAGAAATTTATAAGAAAATAGTAGCTGTTTTCAAGTTAATGTAATGTAGCGTGGTTATCAGTTTTTTGTCATTTCTAAGGCTTTTGTAGTTGTTGTCTACAGCCCCAAATATGTCTGGGTGTTGAGTAACCACATGTACACATACACTAGACACTGGAAAGGGTTTTCCTGGTCTTCTGGGTGTTCCTGTTATGGGAAATTATGAGAGGTTGGCATGCACATGATGACATGCAATCCACATCTACACATACATATGTGTATTCCTGCATTCACATGACCAAACACACATGTGATTTAAAGATCAGTGACACTTAGTTACAAAGAATGTCCTAGCCTGACAGGATGGCACTGTCCTGTAATCTCAGCATGCAGGAGTCTGTGACTAGAGGACTGCTATTAATTCAGTTACAGCCCAGGTTACTTGGTGAGAACTAAGCCAAACCAGGGCTACATGGCAACACCCTGTCTCATAAATCAAAGGTGGATGTGGTGTCCCAGCACTCAGAAGGCAGAAACAGGTGGACTTTGGGAGTTCAAGGTCAACCGGTCTACATAGTGAGTTCCAGTCTACCCAGGGCTACATAGTGAGACTTTGTCTCAAAAATAATTAAATAAATAACAAATAGCTAAGACACAAGCTAAGGCATGTATAACTACAATCCCAACCATTCATCCTAGAAAACTGAATGGGGGATTATCTAGCAGATTATCCAAATGCAGATTCCAGAGCTATAGATATCACTGAGAAGCAACCTACTTCTGTATGCTGTGAGGAGTCAGTCTGCCATAGTGTTAAAGTGCAGGTTCCTGGTTACACATGGAAGGAGCATTAACTGCTATGAGCTGTCCTGGCCAATCTATATCAGACTGAAGGGAGAAAGTGGTGAGATTTAAAATAAGTCAGTTAAGGTAGAAACCTGTCAAAAATAAACTGTAATTACTGGGGAGGAACTGTGACTGACTGATCTAGCAACCAGCTGAACAGAATGGCTTAGTTTGTGCAAATGAAGTCAGCAATACTTATTAAGCTTCTAATGTATGCCCAACAGTATAAATTAAAATGGGAAAAGGCTGGAGGAAAGAATCTTCACATAACTGTCTTCAAACAACCTGTGTCTCTTCCAGATTTAAAAAAATTTTTTTTTCATATATTGTGTGTGTGTGTGTGTGTGTGTGTGTGTGTGTGTGGACACATCAAAGGTGGAGGTCAGAGAACGACGTGTAGAGTTCTGTTCTTCTACCATGTGGGTCCCAGGGATTGAACTGAGTCCCCTGGGCATTGTGGCAGGCTCCTGCACCTGCTGAGCCATTTTTCCAGTCCAGTTGGTAGATTTTTTTTTTATGTTCAATTAGGATCGGAATATTTGGTAATCTATAAGACCTGCTGCTCTCGCTGAGTTTCATTGCTCCTTCAGAACAGTGACAGTCCTGCCCTTCCCTGTGGTCCTTCTAGCCTTATACCTCCCTTGTTTAGTAGGTGCCGGGAGGATGTTGGATGGATGCATGGGTGAGTGGATGAAGTCTACTGAATGGACTAGTCAGTCATTCTGGATGAAGGGGATTTGTGGTAGTTTTTAGTTGCTTGGATAAAAACGAACATCTTTGTAAAGCCACCTGTACCTGCAGAAGTCATGGGAAGGTATGGTCCCAGATCCCAGCCTTCAGCCGTCAGCTTGAGAGTCTTCCCCCCTCATCCACCTCTCCCACCTGACTCAGATGCCCAATTGAGTTTCAGGACCAGTTTGAACTTACTTTACTTATCTTTTGTTAGAGGTAGTGGTAGCCAAGTTCTAATCTGTTGAATGAAAACAAGTAACATAAGATTCTTCTAATTTAGAAATTAATGTGGAAACAAAATTCAGTCAAAATTAGACTTTAGGGTATAAGTCTAAATTTTCACTCTTTATGAGAATTGCCTATTAGGATAAAAGTCACTTCTAACTGTCCCCTAACTGCTTCCTGTAGATATTTTGCAATGATTCAATTTGTAAAATTACAGGTTCAAAGTCCAGGTTTCACTTGGTATATATTTTTCTTGGAATCTAATGAGTTAGTCAAACACACACTGAACCATGAACATTTTCCTGATGGTTCCACTATAGAAGCCAGTGACCGACAAAGTGCCCACCTTCCCTGTGAAGCACGCAGTAAGATCATAATACAATAATAAACAGTTATGATTAACTTTGACAGCCCTTAGTCATCTTGGTACTGATGACGATCTTGTCATTCATTACGAGAAGCACCTCTGTTACTGTGGCCATCTTGTTTGTTACGTTACTCTTGGCCAAGGTGTGGATCCTTCTCTGTGTAGTCAGTGCAGCTCAAAAAAGTAATGGTTTAAACTGATATTTCCCTGGTGATGTTATAATCAAAACAAACAGAACTTTGTTGATCCCTTTCGTATTTCTAAATCAAGCATCCTAGAAAACAGGGTTCTGATATACAGAGAAACAAATGTTAATGATGTCAGCACGTGCTGTTTGGCTGTCACAGGCCTTGACAGTAACAGTTGATGCTGGGCTGCTATATGAGTGCCTCCTCCAGTGAGATTGAACCATAGGCATGGCGCAAAGGGGGTGGAAAAGCATGTTCACGTCTACTCAGTTGTTCTGATGTCTGCTCTTAGCAAAGGATTAACTCAATTTCAACCTCACCCAGGCAATCTGTAGAGAACATCTAACACATTGTCATCCTAATGCCTTGGTGGTCACTTAGAAAAGTCCTTTGGTCCCTCAAGCCCATATCCCTTCTTCTATATTTCTCTCTTTAATTAATACAGGTTATTTTTTGAAGACGGTTTAGGTTCACAGCAGAACCTAGCAGAAATAGAATGAGCATCCATTGACACGTATGCACAACCATGTTCAAGACTAACAGTAGGGTCCCACAGTCGGACGTTGCTACCACAGTTGGTGGACCAAGATGGACAGTCGTTGTCTCCCAGATAGTGTCCCTGTGTGCTGCTTCCTTTGAAGGGTGTCAGCAGGAGGAAATCATATGTGTGCACCATCATTGTGCTGTGGAATGGATCAGCTGCCCTCAGTACCCCCTTCACTTTTCTGAACCCCTTTCTCTCTTGTTTTGTGTTTCTTGATTCCTCACATTTTTCCCCTAGCTAAAATGTAAGTTACTTGACTTCAGGGTCATTGACCTAAACCAGTTTTTAATTATACTTTTATACCCAGTTCCACAGTAGGAGTTTAAAAAGTGCTTGCTAAACAAATCCAAGCTTTTAATGGATGTCGCTGAGGGAGTTTTAATAATGTCCTCATTGAGCCCAACTTCTGGGATTCATTCCAACTTTTTTTTGTTTAATCTTCTTTTAGTAAAGAATTACAACTTTGCTGCTTTAAAAAAAAATCCATAATTTAAAAAATAAATTCCTGCAGGAAAATAAAAATGAAATTTAGATAACAATTCCTCATCCTCTTATTCAAAATAATTATCTTTGTTGTTTTCTAAAGATTATTTGACATTTCTTAATTTCTACCTATTTTGCAGAGAGTATACATACCATAATTTTATTTCAGTTTAAAGAACTAAGTTTAAATTTTGGATAAATAAGGAAAGGAAGTAAAACCAAAACCCTCCAGTTGTTAAACATTGCCCTAAGATATATTCACACCTCTCCAAAGTT